CATCACATTACATTACATTACATTACCTTACATGACATTAATACATAAATTTGCGGGCTTCGGTTTCGGATCCGGGCTTAAGGTCTAGGCTTTAGGGGGGTCAGATTCAGGGTGAAGGGTTTCATGTGTCAGGTTCAGAGAGGTACGTTCGGGGTTGGGTGTTTGGGATTCTTTGGGCTCAGAGATAGCATTGAAGGCTTTAGCGTTTCAAGTGCGCGCGCATGAAACCCCAAGCCCTTAGCCCGAAAGCTATTCTGGGGCTCCTCGTCACACCCTACTCTGATCCAATGGCAGCCCGGAGCATGCGAACATCCACTAAATAGACGGTACTTCCCTCAACCTCGCCGTGCTTCAATTCATCATTCAGATGTCGGGTTGGTGCACTTAAGACTCTACCGTCGACAGTCTGGCATTGAAACACAGACCTACCTGTATCAACACGAAGTCCAACAAAAACACAAACCGACCGAAAACCCCGGCCTGAATTTGCCCCGCCGGACGTGAGCCACGCGCCCGTGTTTTACGCTGAGCCGAGAGGCCGCAGTCATGGACACAGATGACCCTGCAAACTTGCCCGAGCCCTAATTGTCCATCCATACCCCATAGCCGAAACACGTTCCAAGCAATTCACTTCATGCGACCTGTCTTCTATGTTTAGACTCTAAACTTATATTTTACATCTTTGCTATCTACGAGCTTGTCTTCGGGCAGTAGGGCTGAGGGTCCAAAGGCTTTTCTTACCCCGGAGCTCACAAGGTCGCCCCAAAATCTCACGCGAATTATTACGTAACTCGAATGGAACCCATTTTTGGAAACCCAAAAGGGATCCTTATACTACCCCACCTGATTTTCGGCCCTTCCAACCTCGAAACCATGAGGCTTGTCTTGACAACTCGGGGAAAAGTCTGGACATTCAGGGTGTTCTGTCATGGGCGCCGGTTATTGCTAGGAGCCTCGTTGGCTTTCCGGATAAATGAGGACCCCTGTAACCCCTGACGAGAGGTGTCACTTCCAAACATGGAATTGCCATAGGGCCATTGGGATCCGAAATGATGCTAACATTAAGGTGATATCAAGGGTCTACACCATGTCCGCGGCACAGGTCCTTACAGAATTTGCTCCGGGGGCTCAGTGCTTGTTTTCATGGCCCCCAAAGAAGACCATGGCTCTGCGCTCAAAACCCCTTACAACCCCAAACCTTCAATGTCAACCCTAACGCACGTGCAACCCAAGAAAAACTCCCTGGAGCAATGCCTGGAGCTTTGGGTTCAAAGGCGGGCTGCTTTTTGGGCCTGGGTGAAGATGTCCAAACACCCAAGCTTTGGTTTGTCATGGCCTTGATGCTACGGTCAAGGATTTGCAACTTAGGCTGCAAGCTTGGAAACTCAGCTTCCCGGTGCTCCCCCGACCCAGCTCAACATCGCATTTTCGGGTCTCCCCAAATCCATGCACGGCTGCCTGCGGAGGCCCAACCCACGAAGACTCTGAACACACTAACATCTCAGTCTTTGTAGCTGGGAGCTTTCTACGATACAGCGGCCATCTTGGCACATCAGATGCCGGCTGCTCCAGCCGAGTGCCCCTTCCATGGCTAGGCTGAATCCTCGGACATGACTTCGGCTCCGTGGGGAACATATGGAAGGGAGCTCTGACATGGAACAGCCGATCGGGGAAGGAGCGCGAGCCTTTGTCATGCTCCTCTCGCGGCCTCACGGGTGCAGTCGTGCCACTAGAGCTTATAAGATGGGTTCATGGTATCAAGAACGACGATCATAGTCAAGGTGCTCTTCGTGTTTATTTAACGGGTGTAGGTCATTGGTTGCGGGCGTTGTAGGGTTTTTACAATGCCCAGCAAGGCTTTGGAGTTAGGGACTTACTAGCTTACCGCTGAAGAGGAGCTTGGATTCACCGTGTGGCGGCCTCGATGTTTTCGGAGTTGGGGTCAACGGGTTGGGATTGGCATGGTACAGCTGTGGCGAAGGACTGGATTGGCAAGTTTTTTTGGTGTGGCTTAGACACCCAGGAAGAGGCCAACCCGCAAAGATATCAGACAAGGGCTTATCCGTTTATCCCAACTGATCCCAGCTTCTGTGCTCTATCTTGTGCCCCCGGACGTCCTCCCGACAACCACTTTTGTTCTGCGGAATCAGTCTGTGCCGAAACTGCCTTCCGGCCAGTGCCAGCCTGTGTCTGTGCCTTGCTACCGGATGCAACTATTTGAGGCTTCGGCAAGTGTGCTCCACTAGAGACAACCACCTTTACCGACATGCCAGGCTCGAACCTGAATACCCCAAATTCAAAGAGGATCCCTTTTGATCCAAATTTGGCTGGATTGAACCGGAAACCGTCTAATTACCTTACATGCTTCTGGACTTGAAGTTTCTGCATTTGTTGAGTTCTCACTTTCAGGTATATGAATGTCCGGACAACCTCGTCAGCTGTTCTGCCTTGGCCTGACTACACCGCCGCACCCTTTGCGTTTTGTCGGAACTCCTCATGCTACGCTGCGACATCGAAGACATTTGTTCCAACGCTAGGCTTGAATGAAGAGAGATAGCCGAAGGGAGCTTCAAAGCCAATCTTAACTGAAGGTTTGATGCTTAATGCTTGGCACAACATTAACCCATAAGGAAATACAAACCAGAGATGAGCAATGCATTGAGGATGCCATGACATGTAGAGCTCAAGGTTGCACTTGCAGATGAGAGCCCAGGAACTAAGCCCTGAAACTTTGAAACTGCGAAGCGCTGAAGCTGAACCAATCCGAATCCTCCCGGACCTGCAAACCGAAGCTGATTCAAGTCTTCATGAAAGCTAATGCGGGTGCCCCCCACTGTGGGAATAGGCTCGTCAAGGTCAAGTGCAGAAACTGCATGGATATGACGTTCCTAACTTTGAGGTTTTCTGTGGCATAGCATTGTTGAATCGTTCGATACTGTATCACACCTAACGTACATCTGCAGGAACAAACAACATCGTTGCGAGCGGATAACCTAGTAAGATACTTGTCCGAAGACCATATGCTGAGCACAATGGCAAGAACTAGTTTCACCACACCCCTTGTGAAGCACTCGCTGTCCGCAGGTAAAAAGACAAGCCTGGACGTTCCGACCCAGTCCCTTTCCGCATCCCGCAGTAACACCCTTGGCATACGAAACAGTTGTACTGTTCACGACGGAGCGTCCAAACTGTTCCACACTAAACCCTCACAACTGATGCAAGGGTCTACCAGGCTGTCTTGTCAGGTACTTGAACTGATCCTGCGGACAACACATGCCTTGCTGTTGAAGTGGGGCTAGGATGAATGAGGAGGACTAGAAGGACATGCCTCGCATGAATTCATCTTTGGTCTGACAGTGTCCGAGACGGGATGATGTGCAGCTTGTCTTGGACAGCAGGGTGGAGGCAGAGTTAGCGAAGATTGGAATCTGGGCTGGGACCGAAATCCGTCTCCCCTGCCAGCTGCAATCCTTGTTGTGGGAGCCAGTATCAATACTCGTTGCTTGTATTTGCCACAGAAGTCTGGCTGTGCTGGACGCGTTGGGCTTTGGAGTTCTCAGGTTTGTGCTTCAGACTCAAGGGCGTATGATGGCATAGGGTGGTGTCCTTGTTCCCGATTCTCTAGCACTTTCCTAAGTGAGCCAACAGCCCCAAAGCTTGGATGGATAGCCTCTTGTGACGACCACCCCTACCCATCCCCCAATAACACTAATCAAGCCTCGTCTCACGCCAAACAACACTTGAATCCAGTCCTACTTAGGCACTGAGAATGACCACAAACCTGACCCAAACCCTGCTATATCCTACAGTACTTATCCCAGTCTCCAAGCCCAGAAACCTCTGCATTTTAGATCTGACCCCAGATGGTAAAAAGTTGTCCTAAGCATTCCAGGGCCTGAACAACCCCAGATCCAATGTAACATGGACTGCACACCAGTTGATTGATCTTGACGTTCGAAGACTGGCATTTACAAATCTCTGCATAAACGCCTGACAGGAAGGGGCGAGGGGTAGAATTGACGAGGTTCATGGGTTCAGAGCATAATGCTCAGGGCATATTTGGACGAATGCTGCAGGACAAACACGGACAAGCCAAAGCTGCACTTGCAGAAAGCCGAGACTTCAATGCACGTGCGAGTAGTCTCGTCCCCGTAGTTCTAGCTCAACCCCGGGGTCTTGGATCAACAACAATGCTTGATGCTTAAAATGGGGTCGGAATAATTAGTACTCAGTAGTATCTCCTCTTAGTCCCTATACAGTTCTACTACAATATGTACCCCAAGACCCTTACTCTCATTTCTGAGGCCCCTATTTTGCACACAGAAACCTTCACCCTCCGCAACCCTCGCGTGGAAGCCGAACCCGTCCTTCAGCACGGTGCCAAGCACACAGCGCCTCTGAGTGAGATACGCTCCTTCAGGCGGATCGAGACTCCGAGTGCCAAAATACGCATTGAGGGCTCGCTACATACACCTCTGGGCCGCTTCGGGCCTTGGGACGAGGATGTGGAATGCAGGTCTCCGTGTTGAAAGAGCACGACCCTCAACAACGCAAGGATGATACAGACATCAGCACAGAACTTGCCTCGTCACGGCCGAACCCACACCCAAGCTCCCTTAAACAGGTACACACAGGACTGCTTGCGCGACAGAGCACACTAAAAAATCAACCCCGCATGACAATACGAATAACCTGCATCAAACGCACAAGCTAACAACAGCACAACAGCAGCACGGCAGGTGCTCACATAGCGAGAAGCTGTAGCCAGCCTCCTCCTTTCCTTTCAGATTCAGACAAGGAAAGTCGCCGCCTTGCACTCCTGCAGCGGATTAGTCATCCTAGTCAGCAGGCGCCCACTGAACAAGCGATTCCGAAGGAAAGAATCAGACAAGGGAGCCAAAAGAGCTCCTAGATAGAGCTTTCAGTCTCTAGAATGTTTGCGACTGCACTACTGCCCAGAGAGGGCTGCATGTATGTCTGGATGGATGGAAGCATGGATGCATGCATGCGTGCATGTATGCACCGTATGCATGTTTGCATGTATGTTTTGGAATCATTCAGTTACTTTAGCTTCACACCTGATACAAAAACCGGCAATAAAGGAACCACATCAATCTGGACTTACGGTCTCGGTGAAAGAGTCCGTAGGCTTTCCCGACGACGCACACATGCGCCGAGGGTTGGGGTCTAGGATTTTGCGCCAGGGGATCCGAGACACAGAGCGAACTGTTTGGATAAAGACATTGGGCTCTCCTTCCTTCATCTGAATCTGAGTTTTGAGATTTGTATAGTTAGTACTAGTAACTAGTACCAGTAGTAGTAGTAGTAGTAGTAGTAGTAGTAGTAGCAGTAGTAGCAGCAGGAGGAGTAGTAGTCGTCGTAGTAGTAGTAGACTACTACTGCTACTACTGCTACTACTGCTACTACTGCTACTACTTCTACTACTGCTACTGCTGCTACTGCTACTACTACTACTACTACTACTACTACTACCACTACTACTACTACCACTACCAATTAGCTGCTAGCTACTGTCTACTGTCTACTGTCNNACGACTACTACTGCGACGACGACGACTACTACTACTACTGCTACTACTGCTACGTCGTTGTCTTGGCATAGGAGGCTCACACTTTTAGATCGCAATCGGGTGTCTTACATTCCCAGATACATGTAGACTGATGCATCCGCTGCACCCAAGCAGCCCATCACTTGAAACCCGACATATACCCGAAGCCTGAAGTCCCACAGTCCTGGCCCTGAACCTTGCAAACCGGAAGGAGGGTTTAGTTAAGCCTAAACCCAACACCGTCAAACCCTTAACATCCTTTCAATATCCTTTCATCTCCCTAGACATCCTAGGGTCGCTTCTGTCCCAATTCCCCCCCCCCCCCCCCCCCGGAGCGGGCCTTGCAAATCAACTCCGGGGCCTCTCTGTCAAACTTTAGGGCTTCGGGTTGGAGGCTTGGCGCATTTGGGTTTGCAGGCTCCCGCTTCTGGTGTCGAGCCAGAGCAGCTTGCACCCAAAGCCACTGCGCCCTACTACACTAGTAGCCCATGAAGTATGAAGTCGTAAGACACTTGCCCAGAAAAAGAACCCAACTCAAGCGAGAAACCTGAGGCCTTCAGAGGAGTTTGCTGACCCAAGTTACCTCACGTTCCGTCTGGTCGCTTCCCATCTTGATTCTTGACTTTCCGAAAAGATCAGACTTGCACCCTGTAGAAAGATCTCTGGAAATGCTTGAGTGTTGTGGGTTTACAGTTTAGGGTTTGGGATTGGCATGAGCTCTCTATCAAGGGTCCGAGTTGAAGGCTCGGGTTGCTTTGGTCCAAGCGAGACTGTGGACTAATGGGTTATGGGGTCAACCTGGAACTACCAGAGTGCCATAACTTATTCTCCAGAAGATGGTACTTTTTGAGACATGGACCCAGAAGATGCTCACGTTGGGGGCCTTGTTTTGAGCACTTTGACTTTCCTTACACAGTCCTATGAGGAGCTGACGTCCTTGAAACCAAACAGTAAACACCACAGACCGAGCCCTCTACTCTGGACCCTGAATCTTCAATCATGAACCTGCAAGCTCTAGACCCCTAAAGCCCTGAACGCCAAGCTGAAATCCTCGACTCTAATCCCTAAACCGACCTACAGGCACGGAGCCCCAGAACTCCCAAATGCAAAGGCCTTCTCCCACTCATTCTGCCAGGTGTCCTTGTAGTAGGACCTGGAGCAACGTCTGGCATGAGCCGATAGAGTTTCGGGCCTTTTGGGTTTCGGAGTTCACGCTTTAGGGGGACCGGCTCGGGTCTCGGCATGGAGAGGGTTGGGCGTTTGGCCCAAGGAGCAGGCAAAATGCCGAGAAGCTGGGCATTCAAGAGTTTGAGAGCTTCAAGCCATCCTTCTAACGTAAGACGCTTGAACCTCTAAGCTCTAGAACGTCCAGTGATATCACCTTGCGGAAGCCACAAGCTTAAGGACCACCACCACCGCCACCACCGCCGCCACCACCACCACCACCACCACCACCAACAACAACAACAACAACAATGGACGTCTTAGCAGTCATCAACTTGAAAACAACCCTATGTCAGTCTCGATTTCTGAACTTTGAACAGCCACAATCAGACGTAGCCGAAGCAACTGGAACTCAGAGATCGTGTAGTGGTGGCCGTCCTGATGGTGAGCCAATCATGGAGTTTGAAGGTTTTGACTTGATTTGCTGCAGCTATGCGTGCTGCTTAAACTCACGCGCACACACGCACGCAAACGCACGCAAACGCACGCAAACGCACGCAAACGCAAACGCACGCAAACGCACTCGCACACACCAACACAGACACAATTACAGTAGGGGTACGGCCATCAAAGATGTCATCAGTACGCGAAGCACCCTAGACACGTTCCCAGGGCAGCGATCGAATGCCGCTGCATATAATTAAAGAGAAAGGTTTCGTTTCTTTCGAAGGGCTCTTAGATTGCGAAGTATTGCTGGAGTTGCATCGTCAGGTTGACACGGGCTTCCGTGGGACCGCCTTGAACTTAGAGTTGCGGATTTCAGGGTCGGTAAATGAGGACCCAGAGTTAGTCTTGAGATCGTTGGGGAGCAGGCAGTTCCAAAGCTTTCAGAGTCCGTGTCGGCGAAGCTTAAGTGTAAGCATCCACACGACTGACGCGCGCTGTAGCTTATTTCCATGTAACGATTGGCGGGTAGCTTCTCCACAGTTCCAGCCACATGTCCGTCCCGAGATCCCGGTGTCACTTACGCCACTACGTTCCTTTTGAGCCTGATTCAACTCAGATCTATAGTCTTCTTGCAAGCATGGAGGCTGAAATCTGGAATCATGGAACAGCAGAAGGACCCCTAAGCAAACACAATCAAAACACCAAGTTTTGTTGGGTGAGTCCTTCGCGAGCCGGATCTGCGTAGCCACAGGAGCAGCCTCCCACTTGCTTTCCTCGAGGCAAACTGGTGCTCTCGTGGCTCGACGGTATAGGTTTAAGGTATCTGCCCGAAACCGTAAATCTCAGTCAAATGGGAACAGAGCGCGCAGCATAGTTGCAGGATCCTAGGACCACTCAGACAGCACCGCCTCGGAATATGTGACACCATTTCGTCTTAGCTACGATTGAAAATTGAAGTTTTTCTGAACTCCCGACTGGTAGGCGCACCCCTCAACAAGACTTTTTAGAAGTCTCACACACTCCAGCTTCTACGCTTTCTGACAGACAAACCATGATTCTATTCTTTGCTCAACTTGGATGTTGAGCTGAATGGCTGGTGCTCGGTACTCAGCGAGGGATTACGGAGGTGATTCTCATTGAGGTTGCCACTGCTGGTGATGGAAGGCCATACTTTGTTGATGCATGTGTCCTGCGAAGATATCGCTTGAGTCAGGCGTTTGTCTTATAACAAAAGCCAGGCAGTCTTGATCGCTAGACTGTACGAGTCTATAGGTATCTGGTTCTAGCCATCCCTCCTGACTTGCAGGCAACTTCAGCTTCGGGAAACCACTCGCCGAGACTGTCGCCTCGCTGACTCACAAGCTTGGGAAAGCCTGTAACAAAGAAAGTGTGATGCCTGCAAAGTGTCTAACCTCTCGCACAACCAACATGAACAGACCGAGAACATCTCTTTTCTCCGCAGGTTTACGTCAGTAGCACAGGTAACACTGCGGCTCCTCCGGCGGGCATGGCTGCTTCGTCTTTCCATGCGTTGACAGGCTCAGGTATGGCTTTGATGCCTTCATTCCGACCGTCATGCGAAGTTCATCAATGAGGCGACACCAGTTTGAGGTCAAAGCGCAGACCCAGGCATCAGCCTCCAAAGCAAGCTCTAAGTTCATGAAGGCGATGAGAGCCTGGGCTCTTTTAAGGAGCTTGCAAGAAGCGTTTAGGCGATCACAATCGGTTCTGTTTGTACATACTTATATATATATATATATTATATATATATATATATAGATGTGGTATATATGCATCCCTATGTGGCTATCTTCAACTGGGATCCTCAGCAAGAACCAAGGAACTTGCTCCCTTGCGGCTTGCTCGCTTGTCAGGTGCATCCAGGGATCCAAGCGGCTGAGGAGTTTTCCTCGGTTTACCTTGGTCCAGCTGACTTGCCAAGGCGGATGAGCGCTGCAAAGACTCAATGCCCTCAGGACAGTGAGCTGGTCTTCTGTGGACAGGAACATCTTCCGCTCCGAGTATGCGCCGGAAGGATATGAAAAGTTGGTGTCGCTCTCGGCGACTTCCTTGAAGAGCACTCGCAAGTCTGAGCTGTTGTCCACCAAGGCCCTCATTTGCTTCAGGTATGCAATGAAGGGAAACAGCTGTGCTTCACTGCTCTTTTCACCTTGACGTATGTGCGCAGAGATGTATCCAGGCGACAAGACATGAGCAGGTGAAGGCTTTTGTGCATGACAAGTGTAGAGAGACTCAGACCTAAAGCGGTCCAATGCCTCCCGAGTCTTGTCATTAAAACGGACTAAATACGTGACAGACTGCGAGCGCCACCAGTAAAACCAGGACTTCGATTTGATAGGGGAGCAGTTGGCCAACATCTCATGGAAAAGTACTGGCACACTTTGAAGCCCAAAGTTCTCTGCGGGCTCGCGTTCCATCTTTGGATGTCCGTGGAGTTGCAACACATCTTGGTCTCCAACATGGCAGGACGTGATGTTTTGCAGCCAGCACTCGTAGCCCGAGGCGTCGGGGCAAAAAGTGGAATCGTAAAGCTTCACGTTCTTGTCCTCCGGGGAGAGGACAAGGACTCGACCAAGATTCATCGCCAAGGCCAGGGCTTGCCCCATCCAGTGTAGCTGCGAACCCATGCCCGCTGTGTGGGCAGAGTACATCAAAAAGCTCGCGTTGCTGCAATTGGCAGGATGCTGATGCTCCCAAAGCACCTTTTGTGCATAAGCCGTTCCATACAGGACCTCGGGACGGTCTACAGCTGTACCTTGTCTAACCATGGACCAGGGATATCGGACAGGATCAAAACCAGAGCGTTTGAGCTCCTGGTCCATGCGGTACGCGGCACAGGAAGTGTCGCCTTCGGCCGACTCAAGTTTGTATATGTGGTTCTGCACCAACGATCGGATGGCCGGAGGCTCAGTGGGCAACGCTGCAGAGCTGTTTGTGCTGAGAGCAATAAGCTCAAGCGGTTGGGCTTGGGAAGGCATGCTTGTACTGGAACTGGCAATGGAATCTGTGAACTCTGCGCGAACCCTTGTGCTTGTGGATGTGGTTGCAATACGACCTGGCAGCAGCATTGCTCTTTCACCCTCCTTAGGGAACACGACTGGCAGTGTTGCTGTAATTCGTCTGTGACCAAAGAAGCTCACGAAACACACAGCTGCCCCAAGTGTACAAGCGACCAGTCTCAGTGCCATTGGTATGACATGGCTGGATAGCGTAAATGGTATCATGAAGTGGCCACCAAGTAGAACCACCGGGTAGAGAAAGCTTGCAGAACATCTTGGGGCTGCTTTCGTTGCCGGGACATGCAATGCAGGGACCTCCCCCGTGGCGTATTTATTCCTCACGGTAGCATCGATATCCCGAACCCAACGGCTGCGTAACTACAGAGGCTCGTCCGGGCACAAAGCGATACCGGGTGTTACCTGACACAGTCGACTCTACTTCGAACCCGCAGCCTCGAAGCCTTACCGTTAAGAGATCAATCGATGATACTTCTCAGCGACCCAATGCCTTCAGTCCTGAACCACAAGTAACTCGCATGCCATGCCGAGCCACCCAGGATTCCTTGAAGAACATGCGGAACTGGCTTGCGCTGTATGCCTTCAAGACCGAGTACACTGTATGGGTTGGGTTTTGGACTTTTTATTCCGGTGTAGGGCGCGACACGACATGCGCCAAGATGTCACGGACAGAACACGCTTCCGGAGACCTTGAGGGAGCCTCTGCGACCCAAAGCCTCTTCTGGCTAAAACCCCAACACATCTCCGCAAAAAGAGCCTTGTCAAGAGCAAACAGCAAGCAGTAGTGATGTAAATCATCAGTGTAGCGCACCAACAACCAACCACAACCAACAACCAACAACCAAGCAGCAGCAGCAGCAGCGGCAGCAGCAGCAGCAGCACCACCACCACCACCACCAGCACCACCACCACCACGACAACCACCACCAC